ATCGAATCGGTACAGCGCAAAGGGCGAAAGTCTCCAAAGAGCATATTTTGCAGTGGACTACTCCTTTCTGGAGTCGCAGGAAGTCTTCCCCGCGTACGCCAGAAAGCCTCACGGAGGAAGACGAAGGCAGCTTCGCTCTCAGTGTTACTGCATGGCAATTCTTGTCTCTTCTTTAGGCTGTCATGGCTTTTTACCCGTTTGTGGTTGAGAGAAAGGAAGCCTGTCTCACATGACACTTGCCAATGTCTCTCCTCTTTCTCTCTCTTGCCCTCGTCCCCAGACTCTCATTTCATGTCCCATCAGATGTCCCATCATCTATCGTCTGTTCTCCATACTATTTATCTATCTATCTATCTCGTGAGTCGGCTCATCATGGCTTCGCGGAGACATCTCTCCATGTTTTCTCACTCCCCGACCCTCTTCTTCCTCCTCTTCTTCGTCTGTGTAAATGCCACCCTCGCGTTTGCAGTCGATTACATCTCCTCCAACCACAGTCTCTCCGGAAACCAGACCATCACCTCCCCGGGTGGCAACTTTGTGCTCGGCTTCTTCCAAGTAGGTGAACAGAGTCCCAGCCGCCACTACATAGGCATCTTATTCAAGAAGGTCTCGAAGCTTACTCCGATCTGGGTAGCAAATAGAAACAATCCCGTATTCGACCCAGCCACATCTCAGCTCAAGATCTCCGATGACGGCAACTTGGTACTCCTCGGCCAGTCTGATGCACAAGTTTGGTCCACCAACCTCACGTCCACGGCCTCCAACGCCACGGTCGCTGAGATCCTCGACTCGGGAAACCTTATCCTCAGAGACTGGTCTGACCCATCCAAGCTCCTTTGGCAGAGCTTTGATCACCCAACTGATACATGGCTCCCCGGGGTAAAGTTTGTGATGAACAAAGTGACCGGAAAAGGTCCAGTCCTCACTTCATGGCGGAACTCCGATGATCCTGCTGCTGGCATCTTCTCCGTGGAGTTGGATCCTACCGGTCTAACCCAATTCATTCTACTGTGGAACAGGTCTAAGCAGTACTGGAGTACAGGGCCTTGGAATGGGCATTTCTTTAGCTCGGTCCCGGAGATGACGGCCTACCGTCAGGATCCGACGGTGGTCAACGTCTCTGTCGAGTTCTTCTCCAACTCCACGACCAACTACTTCGTGTATGAACTCAGGGGCGACATGATCACCAGAACCATATTAGACATCTCGGGGCAGCTCACTCAACTTGCTTGGGTGGAAGAAGCCCAGGAGTGGATTAGGTTCCTGGCTCTGCCCAAGAAACAGTGCGATGTCTACGCTCTCTGCGGGCCTTTCGGCAGCTGCAACGAGAACGGCTTACCATTCTGCAGCTGCATCAAAGGTTTCAGCGAGAAGTCCCCCGTGGACTGGCAATTGGGCGATCGACGCCAGGGATGCGCGAGGAACACCCCGTTGCAGTGCGGCAAAGATGACAGGTTCTTTGCCATCTCTGGTACCCAACTGCCGGATGATCCCCGTTCGCTAGCAGCTGCCAGTGTCGAGGAGTGCGAATTGTTGTGCTTGCAGAATTGTTCGTGCACTGCTTATTCCTACGATGGCGGATGTTCTGCCTGGTATGGTGATCTGCTGAATCTCCAGGAGCTGTCTGATGGATCCAGGCGAGAAACAGTGTATGTACGTTTAGCTGCTTCGGAGCTGCCGATGCCCGGGAGAGAGACAAGAAGGACCCTCAAGCTCGTGGTGGTTGGTGCTGCCGTTGCTCTCGCTCTCTTGGCTTCTGCCCTGGTGCTGTTCTTGAGACAACTTGGGAAAAGAGAACTTGGTACTGACGAAGCAACGGAGGGTAATCTGGTGGTCTTCAGGTATGGTGACTTGCAGCGGATGACCAGGAACTTCTCGGAGCGGTTGGGCGGAGGAGGTTTCGGTTCAGTGTTCAAAGGGACTCTGCCTGACTCCACTCTCATCGCTGTAAAAAAGCTCAGAAGCCTTGTACATCAAGGGGAGAAGCAATTCCGCAACGAAGTGAGCACTCTGGGAATGATTCAACATGTTAACCTGGTTCGTCTTCGTGGATTCTGCTCCGAAGCCAACAAGAGGTTGCTGGTTTACGATTACATGACGAATGGTTCTCTAAACACGCATCTGTTTAGTAAAGGTTCCCCGGCTATGGCCTGGTTGACAAGGTATAACATCGCCATCGGAACAGCTCGAGGATTAGCTTATCTGCACGAGCAATGCAGGGACTGCATCATACACTGCGACGTGAAGCCGGAGAACATACTCTTGGACGAATCCTTTCACCCGAAGCTGGCCGACTTCGGCCTGGCAAAGCTCGTAGGCCGAGACTTCAGCAAGGTCTTGACCACGATGAGAGGAACCGTGGGCTACCTCGCTCCAGAATGGATCTCCGGCGAGGCCATCACCCCCAAAGCCGACGCCTACAGTTACGGGATGACACTCTTGGAACTCATTTCTGGGAGAAGAAACACGGAGCAATCCCGGGAAGACGATCCCTTCTTCCCCGTGTTGGCTGCGACGAAGTTGGTGGAAGGTGACATTCTTAGCCTGTTGGATCCGCGGCTGCATGGAAACGCCGACATAACAGAGCTTGAGAGAGCATGTAGAGTTGCGTGCTGGTGCATTCAGGACGATGAAGCCCACAGGCCATCGATGGCGCAGGTTGTTCAGATTCTGGAGGGTGCTCTTGACGTTGACAAGCCTCCGACGCCAAGGAAACTCCAAGCTCTCTTGGATGACAGTAACACCAAATGCTTCTCCTCAGACTCCTCTTCAGGCCAGGGTTCCACGAAGGCACTCTCGACTTCTCTGATAGAGACCACGTCTTTGATCAGTTCTGAAGGCTAAAGATGATGTAGAATTGTGTTGGTGTTTGATGTGTATAGAACTAGTAAATTTCTTTCAGATGGGTTGATCTTGAATGCCATTGTTCTTGGATCTCTGTTTCAGCTCAATGAACGCGCTCTGTTTCTCCGACGGAAACGGCTCCGTAGCCGTTTCCGTTTCCCGATAAACCTCGAGGAATCGTTTCGGAAATGACTTCAAAAGACGTCAAGCTTTAGGCGCGCCGAAAGGATATCGGCGCAAGAAAAGAATCCCCCCTCCTCCTCTCTCTCCCTCCGTCTCTTTCCCTCTTCCCCGCGATAACAGCGACGAAAACCCTAGCACCGCCCTCTCTTCGATCTCCTCGTCCTCCTTTATCTCTTCCTCAAACCGCTTGTCGTCGCCGATGGAGCTCCTCCGCTCGCACCTCTCCAGGGTTCGGATCCCGGAGCCCACCAACCGCATCTACAAGACGGAGTGCTGCATCTCGTTCGACACCCCGGTAGCCTCCCTTCTGATCTCTTCTCGCCGCTATTCTTTGATTCGTTTTCCGATGGACTGATCTTGTTCCGTGTTGCGCCGGCCAGAGGTCGGAAGGGGGGCTGTACGTGGATCTCAGCTCGTTTATTGCGTTCGGGAAGGAGGGCGTGGGGTGGAACTATGAGAAGAGCGGGAACCCCGTCTACCTCCACATACAGCAGCGGCCCAAGCCCGTGCCCGAGGACCGGCCTCTCAAGAAGCCTACCCTCCTCGCGATCGGTATTTTGTTCTATTGGATTTGTTTTGCTTGGTTTCTTGTTCTTGAAATAATCTGTAATGCTAGCGTTAAATTCTGTCGACTCTGAAATGGTTCTCTTGAGCAACCAAACGGAACAGTCAAAGCATAACAAATATTATTTACAGTATCGTCCTTATCCACATTTGCAACGTCGATACACATTATGAACATATTTAAGGTAATGATGTTTCATCTTTGAAGCACTGTGGAAATCTTTTTTCAGTCAAATTTAGTTGTATAATCCATTGCATAATATGCCCGACTGTCATTAAACCGCTGACATATATACTTTCTATGGTGAAAGTCATTGGCGAAACTTCTGGAGGAAAACAAAAGAAAAGGATTAATATGTCTACTGGTTCTCATAAAGTGCATTACAGTAACAAGATATAAATTGGTGTAAGACTGTAAGCTTTTGTTTCTTGTTCTTGAAATTGTTTCTAATGCTAGCATCAAATTTCTTGAACCTGAAATGGTCTTCTCGAGCAACCAAATGGAACAGTCAAAGCAAAATAAAAATTATTTACAGTATTGTCCTTATCGCTTTTGCAACATTGATACAGATCATGGAAATATTTAGCATAACAAAGTTTCATCTTCGAAGCACTGTGGAAATCTTTTGTTCAAATTTTGTTTTGTAAATCATTGCATAGTGTGCATAACTGCCATTAAATCACTCATATATGCTTTCTATGGTGAACATCATTGGCAAAGCCTCTGGGGGTGATCAAAATCAGAGGATTATTATGTCTGCTGGTTCTCATAAATAGCATTATTGTAACAAGATATAAATGGGTGTAAGATTTGGTTATAGCTATAATTGTTATGCAAATTCTTATCTATCAGCTCTTCTTTGAAGCCTAAGTGCCTTTATGTCAACATCTCGGAAGTGTTCCTTGAAGCGTTACATGGTGATAAAAATAAATAATGTCACATCATGGAAAGTAGAACTAGATCGTGGAAAATACACTAATGAAAGCAAGGATTAAAATTTCGTACTGTACTGGTGTATCGAGCTTTGCTCGGTATGGGACGGTACGACGTACTGAGCGGTACGCCTAATTTAGGTGTAAAATACTCGAAAAATACCTAAAAAATAAAAAAAAGTTTGGATAGAGTTTTTAAGTTAGAAATAAATATACATTTAGTATAAGTTTAGCAAAATCAATGTAAATTAGGTAAGAATAGTATCACATATCTTTTTTGGGTTTTGAGGAATAGCCTTGTACAAGGTTCGTATTTCGATCCGTTACAGATTGTCCTTCTATAAATATTAAAATATCTACAGAAAAATCATTTGAATTGTTAGATTATTTTATTACAATATAAACTTTAAGATTCAAATAATTAAATAATTATATATGTAGATATACTTGATTGTTGATTCTACCACCGAAATAAACGACAGGCCTTCACGGGTGGTGGATCGGGGTCCTCGATCCTATGTATTTGTATATCAATATGATATGTTTGTTGGACTTAATCTTGAAATTGATCTCATGACATAGTGTATTGATACATCATATGTCATTGATGCATCAATGTGGTGATGATTGTAGGTTGATCGTTATGAATCATGTGTTCAAGGCGGCTCTTGAGGCATGTATCGGTGAATGTTAGAGCTTCTACTTTCGCCACTGATTTGTTGCTCCGTATCATACTGTTGCACGGAGAAGTATGACCAACTATCATCGTATTGCTGTTGGCCGTAAGATTTTCCATAATACAACAGTTGTGAATATGATGAGTTTCGTTCTGTGTCTACATCGTGTAGGTTTTGTCGCATCCGTTCAAATTCATCTACTGGCTTCCTCTTCCCCTTTCGCACATAGATTTGACCTTGTCGAGTTCCATGATCTGAATCTTGGGTAGCATGTGTAAAATATTGCTCCTTGGTCCATGCACCACCCTCAAGTTGTGTAGATGAGACCAACGACTGCCCGACGTCGCCACCATCATCCGTCGAGGCACTGTTGTCCGTGTTGCTGTCATGTCTCTGGACCGAGCGAGTTGCTGAATGCAATTGCGAAAGTGTCTCGTTGCTCAACTTGATTTTTTCCAACGATGCGGCTGATGCTACTGCCTTCCCCTTTGCCTCTGCCTTTGCCTTTGCCTTTGCACGTTGGGCGGACGACAGTGACAGTTGGGTATCTATAGTTCCTCGAGCAGTCTGACCCGATGTTGTTTGACTCCTACCATGTTGTGACCGAGGGGGATTTTCCACTTGTTGGGGTTATGCTTCCTCTTCTTCTATTGTCTCGGTGAGAAAACGCGTAGGACGTTGAGGATCTCCTACTTTATCAAGGAGGATCCTCTTGGTTCTTTGTCGCTTTGACCCACTCTAACATCGGCTCTTAATCTTCGTTATAGAATTGGAGGTCGATGGGATCAATATCTGGTTCCTTTGGCTCCTTATCCAGCTTGGTACACCGTAATCTTAGCTGCATGTTATAATGGACATATACCAGTTTCTTTAACCATCTATACAAGAGTCTGTTACGGACCTTTGTATGAATCAATGCGAACGTTGACCTATTACGTTCGAACCACTAAATGTCGTCGTTTGTGAAAGTACACAAACGACAATATTCCTTAAATGTGGTGCATCCCCTCCAAATTGTAGCCACCACTCGACTGCAAAAAGATATAAATAAGATTTTATTAGCATAACAATAATTAATATTAAATATAATTGATAATCAATATGTGTAACTTTTTCTCACCAGGATCCATAGTGTAACGATACGATATAGCTACAACGTCGAAGAATGAATCAACTGTTTCTCGAAATAATCGACCCTCCATAAGAGCATTGGTTGCATCAGTAGTGTTTGGCAAGAGTCGATATATAACATTTTATAGTGCCGTTAGTAAATCATTTTGTGTTCTAAGAGCATATTGATATTGAATTGTCGGGTTTAGATAATACGTTGCAAGACATAATTTTGTTAGTATGATTTTTTATTATATAAAAAAAATTATTCCGAATATGAATTTACCTGCATTATGGATATGTTGATCCATATGAACTTCAGTCCGACGATCAATGATCCGTACATATTGGTTAGTCTTAAAATCATCTTTGAATGCTTTCCTGATCTCCTCTCTTGTTGAAATCAATATATATTTAAGATATGATATCTGTGAACACTTGTCCATATCGACCTTACAGAGAACAACATAAAGTGGTTCTACACCTTTTATGATTTCGGTTGCGATCTCCCAAAATCTAGAGGAAAGAATGACATTTTCTATCTTTTTTGCATCGCTCAATCTCGAATATCTGGAATCAAACCACTTCTGTGAGGTGACCATTGCTTTCAAGTTATGTCTTTTTATGTTGTAATGACTTTAATACAATGAAATTGGTAATATATCGAGTGACTCCAGGTCGGAGTATCTCATCGTTTACATACTTTTGCATTAAAGAGTGGATCTAATAATGATTATATATAAACTTTATAATTGATTGTACTTGAGCTACACACTTCTTGACCATGTCCAGCTCACCAATATCTTTCAGCATTAGATCTATGCAATGAGCTACATATGGAGTCCAAAACAATGTTTTTCCTTTTTCCATCAATTGCAAACCGACTTTCTTGAAATTCGCTCCATTGTCGGTTACTACTTGGACAGTATACCATGGTCCGATGTCCTCTACTATGATGTCCATCAAGCTCTTAATATAGTCTGCATCTTGGATCTTTTCAGAAGAATTAACTGACTTATGAAACACCACCCTTCTGTTGCAAGAAACAAGAAAGTTAATGATACTCATTCTTGTTAGCCCTGTCCAAATGTCATACGTCACCCCATACTTTCATGATAAAAGTATGTCAAGACCAAGGTTCGTAATTTTGTATCGTACCAAAGTTTCGAGCTCAGTTCGGTATGGTACGGTACAAGTATATCGAGTGGTATATTTCGGTATACCGCTCGGTATATATATATATATATATATATATATATATATATAATAATAATAATAATAATAATAATAATAATAATAATAAAAATAAAACTACGGCACCTCGATACTCCTCGCACTCTGCTCGCGTGAGGAGAAGGAGGTTTCCTTCTCTTCCGCGCGAAAAAAAAGGAAAGGTGACATCGCTCGATTTAAAAAAAAAAAGGAAAAGGGCGACAATGCTCGATTTCTGCTCGCATGGGGAGAAGAAACCGTTTCCTTCTCCCCGCACAAAAAAAAGGCGACATTGCTCGGTTTTTGCACGCGTGGGGTTTCTTCTCCTCACGCAAAAAAGTTCAAAAAAAAAAAAACTCCTCATTTCTTCTGCTGGGGAAAAGAAATCTCTTCT